GAGAGAGAGATAGAGAGAGAGAAAACAACTGAGATAGATAGAGAAAGAGAGAGATAACAACAGAGAGAGATTACAACAGAGAGAGACAGACAGATAGAGAGAGAGAGAGAGATATAAAAACAGAGAGAGAGGTACAGTTTCCATCATCTTTTATACAACAAAACATTTTTCAATATCTTGTGAGTGGTATGAAGTTTATGATATATTTAGTTGAGTCAGCGAGGTCAAGACTTCATACTTAGCAGAATTACAAAACATAACACACAATATAATAATGATATATTAGAACTATCCTATGAATCTACGATAGGTTTCCGTTTTCTCCATTTAAACCAAAATGCCTTTTGACTTCTTTTTTTTTTTATCACTATTGACATATTTTTCTACCAAAGAATTATCTTTGATGGCAAATCTCAAAATTTCAAATCTCTTGGACCTTTCTACATTTCCATAAGCAATGGACAATGGTTTTATTTTCTATATTACAAAAAGTACATAGTGGGTTTGGGTGTAGATATACTTTATAAAGAAATGTGTTGGTATCCAATATATGATGTATGATTTAACTTGGAACCATTGTGACTTATAATTAATGGTTACTGTATAAGGTAGTTGATATATCCCTGACTACTTTTCCATATCAATATCAAACTCCTGGTTCCATTTACTTGTTCCAGTAGGTGTTGACACTGGTGTAATGATACAGTTATAAAAGTCTTTGGAACCTCTCCTATTCTTTAAAAGTATTTTTTTAAAAAAATATAAAGTATAATAGGTTGTAGAGGTCTTTTTTAATGAAAATCAAAATATTCTTTAACGACTTTATATTTCTGTCACTAGTCCATGGTGATGAAGAAAGTTGGTATTAATTTGAAAATGATGCAGAGACTCATCAGATGTATAAAAGGTGAAATAATTTGGTTATTTAATTAAGTCATTTAATGTAAAATCTCCAGCCCAAAACCAGTTGGGATAAAGAAAATATTAACCTGGATATCTTTGCTATACCAAAGAGGAGTTTTCAGAAGTTACAGGTTTCTCTTCACTAAAAGTCACAACAAGTTAAAAATTTAATTTCTATGTTTTTGATAACAGTTGTTATAGCTACATGGGGAAAATTAACATTTTAAACAAAATAACAAAAACAATGGAAGAAAACTTCTTAAAGGGAGATAACCTAGTGATGAAATTCCTTTATTTTCAGGTGTCCAGGGACAGAATGTAGAAAGCTGTCTTTACAGAGCTCCTTCTGGTGGGTATCTTGTGCTTCAACTCCATGACGAACTGATTTATGAAGTGGCCCATGCAGATTTGATGGAGGTGGCAAAGATCATTAAACATGAGATGGAAAATGCCATGAAGCTGTCTGTCCGTATGCCTGTCAAGGTCAAGGTTGGCCCTAGTTGGGGGAAACTAGAGGACATGGAAATATGATATGGTATTGTTTAAGAAACTGACTGGACATGACGGGATACCAGCACAGGAAACCCATTACAGACACTGAAACTTTTGATTATTAATTGTTTTTAATACATCAATACTGTGGTTTTACATCATTGTCCAGTAGCTGAGATTTATATCTGAGTGATGCCCTTCTAGTTAATAGCTTATACTTAATGTTACCTGAAAAATATTAAAAGTGGACTGTAAAATACAGTATACATTTACTGTGTTGAGTATACAAATACCATGTGCAATATGATTTGTGAGTTTGTGATGTAATTACCTAGTCCAGACATAACAGTATGTCTTGGTAAAATTGGTGGACATTGTCATTGTAATCATGATTAAATTTCATGTTAACTTTCCTCCAGCATTCATTAGATTTACCCAACACACGGCCTGGAGTTATGTTTTTATACACTAAAATAGCCTCTCATAACTCATAACAAGTTAAAACTCAAATCTTATTATCATATCTATCCTGTGTATTAGAATCTTTGCTGTTGTTAAAATCTTGACTATTTTGTAAAAATCTTGGCTATTGTTAAAATCTTGGCTATTGATAAAATCTTGGCTATTGTTAAAATCTTGGCTATTGATAAAATCTTGGCTATTGTTAAAATCTTGGCTATTTTGTAAAAATCTTGGCTATTGTTAAAATCTTGGCTATTTTGTAAAAATCTTGGCTATTGTTAAAATCTTGGCTATTGATAAAATCTTGGCTATTGATAAAATCTTGGCTATTGTTAAAATCTTGGCTATTGATAAAATCTTGGCTATTGATAAAATCTTGACTATTTTGTTAAAATCTTGGCTATTGTATTAATTATCAATAAGTTATTGTCAATGTGAGCAAGCTGCTGAAGCCTCTTATAAAAGATTTTTATTATTAAAAATATCAGATATATCATACCTACATATTGTTTCATAGACTATACAAATTGTTATTCCTAAACTCATGCCACACAATATTAATTTTCTCAAGTCCTAGGTAAGAAAAAAAATTGTCAAATTAATTTTGTTAACAAAAGACATGTTTCTTCCTGGATGACTTGTTGAGAATATACTGTCTGTGATGTTTAAATAGTTACCATTATATCTGGCATTTTCATATTTATTTATTTCTGACAAGGGCATACATTGTTCCTATATTTGGTTAAACTTAGTATTGTTAAATTTAGTGCCAACTAATAAACTATTATTGAATTTTGTATACTGTTTTGATCTGGATTGTATAACCTTTCTTACATTTTAATTATTGTGTATGAAGTTTGTTATCCTAAAGGAGTGTCTCCTCATCTGTTTTGGACAGAGAGCAGGTGTTAAATTATTTCTGACAGACATCTGTACTCTTCATGTGTTGTCAAGTTCACAATTAAACAATTAAACAAAACCATAAAAAGGAGAGTTGTAAAAATGAAATGATGTACTTAAGAATTTTGAAATATTTAGATTAAATATTTTATTATAGGAACATTATATAACTGTGTTCCTTGCTTGGAAACAATCATGTTTTTGTTATGGTTTAGTTTTTATTTTTTGTAAAATGCTAATCAATGATTTAAAAACTTCATCAAAACATTTCTGATTATTACAATCTCCTATGTATGTATATAACTGATTATTACAATCCCCTGTGTATGTATATAAGTGATTATTACAATCCCCTGTGTATGTATATAAGTGATTATTACAATCCCCTGTGTGTGTATATAACTGATTATTACAATCCCCTGTGTATGTATATAACTGATTATTACAATCCCCTGTGTATGTATATAAGTGATTATTACAATCCCCTGTGTATGTATATAAGTGATTATTACAATCCCCTGTGTATGTATATAACTGATTATTACAATCCCCTGTGTATGTATATAACTGATTATTACAATCCCCTGTGTGTGTATATAACTGATTATTACAATCCCCTGTGTATCCCCTGTGTATGTATGTAAGTGATTATTACAATCCCCTATGTATGTATATAACTGATTATTATAATCCCCTGTGTATGTATATAACTGATTATTACAATCCCCTGTGTATGTATATAAGTGATTAATACAATCCCCTGTGTATGTATATATATAACTTATTATTACAATCCCCTGTGTATGTATATAAGTGATTATTACAATCCCCTATGTATGTATATAACTGATTATTATAATCCCCTGTGTATGTATATAACTGATTATTACAATCCCCTGTGTATGTATATAAGTGATTAATACAATCCCCTGTGTATGTATATCCCCTGTGTGTGTATATAACTGATTATTACAATCCCCTGTGTATGTATGTAAGTGATTATTACAATCCCCTGTGTAGGCTATGTATAGAAGTGATTATTACAATCCCCTGTGTATGTATATAACTGATTATTATAATCCCTTGTGTGTGTATATAAGTGATTATTACAATCCCCTGTGAATATATATAACTGATTATTATAATCCCTTGTGTGTGTATATAACTGATTATTACAATCCCCTGTGTGGAGTTGTTGTTTGCAGGGTCGTATTTACAAAAATGTCCTATAAATATCAACATCACCAACCCTTTCCGCCGTCGTCCACGTGTGATTGAAAGTGACAGTGACTAACTTTCCTCCTGTCGGTGTGGCGCGAAATGTGTGACGTAAGTGACGTCATCTCACAAGCAAACCAAGAATTCCATTCATAAATGTGTAAGATTTGTAAGATTACTATTGACAGTAAAGTAGTATTAATAACTTGACCAACATGTTCAAAGATGTTAAATGTGTTTATGATATATAATACATTGAACAATAGTAAATATTAAAAAGAAAAGTGTTGTTTTATTGCGTGTTTTAAGGCGCTATATTTGAACGCGTATGCATGTCTCTGGGTGACATATTTGACAGGGTATTTGACCCGGCCCGCTTGAAGAAAAAACAGTTAAACACTGACGTTGGATGTTTACATTCACAGTCCATATTATGTTTTCGACAGCAAACATAGTTTGCAAAATTCGGGGATGGAGAATCTATTTCAGCATTTTTTTATGTATATAACCCAAGAAAAAAAAATAGAATTCTGAAAAATGGCGGCATCCAGTGATAGCTACCGCGAGGTGAGTGCAAATATTTGATAATATGAGATTAGAAATGAGAGAAAAAAACACTTTTCTATATGGGTTTGTAGGATAGGGATATTCCACCCTCGGGATCACAAAATGTGGTAAAAACCCTCGGCAAGCCTCGGGTTTTACCATATTTTGTGACCCCTCGGGTGGAATATCCCTATCCTACATACCCATATAGAAAAGAGTCTTATATTATAACAATCCCCTGTGTATGTATATAACTGATTATTACAATCCCCTGTATATATATTTGCTATGATTTAGAAGAAATTGAATGATTATAATAAATTATTTAAAGAATATTTCGTCTCAGTTTTGGTATTTTATCATGTCAGTAATCTTCTGAATTGATTATTCACGACACACAATTAAGATAGATAGAAATCCTGTTTTAGAACGTCCATCTGTACGAGATCTCTCCATAACCCAGTCTCTGCCAGACCTCATCATAACCGAGTTTTTGTCAGATCTCTTCGTCTCCCACACTCTCCAACCATATCCCAGACTCTCTGAGATATCTCCATAGCCCAGTCTCTCTGAGATATCTCCATAGCCCAGACTCTCTGAGATATCTCCATAGCCCAGACTCTCTGAGATATCTCCATAACCCAGTCTTTCTGAGATCTCTCCATAACTCGGTCTGTGCCAGATCTCTCCATATCCAAGTCTCGCTGAGATCTTTCCATAACCAAGTCTCCCTGAGATCTCTCCATAACCCAGTCTGTGCCAGATCTCTCCATATCCCAGTCTCTCTGAGATCTCTCCATATCCCAGTCCCTGTCAGATCTCTCAATAACCCGGTCTCTCTGAGATCTCTCCATAACCCGGTCTCGTTTAGATCTCTCCACATCCCAGTCTCTCTGAGATCTCTCCATAAGCCGGTCTCTCTTAGATCTCTCCATAACCCAGTCTCTCTTAGATCTCTCCATAACCAAGTCTCTCTGAGATCTCTTCATAACCCGGTCTCTCTGAGATCTCTCCACATCCCAGTCTCTCTGAGATCTCTCCATAAGCCGGTCTCTCTTAGATCTGTCCATATTCCAGTCTCTCTTAGATATCTCCATAACCCAGTCTGTGCCAGATCTCTCCATATCCCAGTCTCTCTGAGATCTCTCCATATCCCAGTCCCTGTCAGATCTCTCAATAACCCGGTCTCTCTGAGATCTCTCCATAACCCAGTCTCGTTGAGATCTCTCCACATCCCAGTCTCTCTGAGATCTCTCCATTAGCCGGTCTCTCTTAGATCTCTCCATAACCCAGTCTCTCTGAGATCTCTCCATAACCCAGTCTCTATGAGATCTATCCATAACCCAGTCTCTCTGAGATCTCTCCATAACCCAGTCTCTCTTAGATCTTTCCATAACCCAGTCTCTCTTAGATCTCTCCATAACCCAGTCTCTGCCAGATCTCTCCATAACCCAGTCACTCTGAGATCTCTCCATAATCCAGTCTCTATGAGATCTATCCATAACCCAGTCTCTCTGAGATCTCTCCACATCCCAGTCTCTCTCAGATCTCTCCATAAGCCGGTCTCTCTTAGATCTCTCCATAACCCGGTCTCTATGAGATCTATCCATAACCCAGTCTCTCTGAGATCTCTCCATAACCCAGTCTCTGTCAGATCTCTCCATAACCCGGTCTCTCTGAGATCTCTCCATAACCCAGTCTCTCTTAGATCTTTCCATAACCCAGTCTCTCTTAGATCTCTCCATAACCCAGTCTCTGCCAGATCTCTCCATAACCCAGTCACTCTGAGATCTATCCATAACCCAGTCTCTATGAGATCTATCCATAACCCAGTCTCTCTGAGATCTCTCCACATCCCAGTCTCTCTCAGATCTCTCCATAAGCCGGTCTCTCTTAGATCTATCCATAACCCAGTCTCTCTGAGATCTCTCCACATCCCAGTCTCTCTCAGATCTCTCCATAAGCCGGTCTCTCTTAGATCTCTCCATAACCCGGTCTCTCTTAGATTTCTCCATAACCCAGTCTCTCTTAGATCTCTCCATAACCCAGTCTCTCTGAGATCTCTCCATAACCCGGTCTCTATGAGATCTCTCCACATCCCAGTCTCTCTGAGATCTCTCCATAAGCCGGTCTCTCTTAGATATCTCCATAACCCAGTCTGTGCCAGATCTCTCCATATCCCAGTCTCTGTCAGATCTCTCCATATCCCAGTCTCTGTCAGATCTCTCCATAACCCAGTCACTCTGAGATCTCTCCATAATCCAGTCTCTATGAGATCTCTTCATAACCCAGTCTGTCTGAGATCCCTCCATATCCCAGTCTCTCTGAGATCCCTCCATATCCCAGTCCCTGTCAGATCTCTCAATAACCCGGTCTCTCTGAGATCTCTCCATATCCAAGTCTCTCTGAGACCCCTCCACATCCCAGTCTCTGCCAGATCTCTTCATAACCCAGTCTCTATGAGATCTCTTCATAGCCCAGTCCAAGTCAGATCTCTCCATAACCCTGTCTCTGTCAGATCTCTTCATAACAGTCATAACGCAATAACAAATATACAGCTAGAACATACCCGAATTTGAAGTCACGTGATCCCTATTTGAATAATCGCGGTCTTTCATGCGTTTTATCTTCCACGAACGAACGGTGCTATACAGCTACTGTCCTGTATGTTTGATAAACACACATGTTGACAGACAGATGTAAGGAGGTAATATCTAACAGTAGGACTAACCCAAAGAAAACTAATAATTTACACTTAGCATTAACTGACTTCGCAGGTGACATATTGAACCTATTGTGAAACCGCGTAAAACGTCACTTTCACTTTCGTTTTATTCTGATACTGGTTTTCCCAAAGTCTAAATCGCTGTTTAAAGTTCAGGTGTCCAGTGGTTCACTTTGTTATGTTTCATGTACAGTTTGATGTATCTTGGTTATCATGTCGGACCGTTTTATCCCCCGTTTACAGTTCTCTGTGTATGGTATGAGGGTTGTGTCCTTTTCCTTGCTGAAGAAGGTGTTGTGTTTCCTTGTCAACCGGAGATGGACCAGAGTAGCTGTTTTCTTCCTCTATCCATTTTGTGCAGTCTATGTGTTTCGGACGGTAAGAGATAATGCAATATGTATGTAAGTGATTTTGTTAATCACATTTTACTAAAACGAAAGTAGGTATGTGAGACTTAACACATTACATCATTATGGATAAACATACATGCGTAGGTGTAAAATTGTCAGAGAATATGTACATATTGTTTGATACTTTCGTTTTATATACACAATACATTATGTACCTATTTGTACTGGAACTTGTCCCTGCTAAGAAATGTCATTACAGTGATCAACCAAGACTTTTAAACTGAAAATGTCTGAAATTCTCCATTTCAATATTGCTTCAACTTTTAAAATATCCCGGGGGACGGTCTTGTACAATATGTGCTGAGATTTCTAAAAGAGATATTTTGAACATGTTGTAAATTTCATGACAAAATAAATTTATAGCAAAATCACCAGTGTACTGGAATCATATAGTTTTGGATTTGTCGAACCTGTTTAATTTTCATTGATATGTACGGCTCCCTTACTCTCTTGGTCAATCGGATTTACCTACTGTTAATTCTTTAAGGTCTATGATTCAATATAACAACACTTCCAACATTTTTTTGTGTTTAAGACACAGCTACATATATTTAAGATTTATGACATGTCTAGAATTGATTAAACAAACAGCTACATGTATGTAAAATTTATGACATGTTTAGAATTGATTTAACACACAGCTACACGTATGTAAGATATATGAAATGTCTAGAATTGATCACTGATGTTCTGTCAACAGATCAGAAGTCGCTGTCTGAAAGCGATTCCTGGCCAGAAGTCGATGGAAGACAAGAAAAAGATTCTGGTAATATTGTTCCTGTTTTAGGGAATTCCTACTCAAATCATTATGCAGGGGGGATAACTCCTACAAGCTATGCACAGGTGGTAACTCCTGTTATTTCAAAAAAAAAGAAAGCAATGTTGGTAGCTCCTATTATATATACGAACATCCTTATTTTGTTGGGAATGCCTTCGCGATTTTTAGGGGATATCTGCTTCTGTATAAAGTGACCCATATGTTTGTTTAAAATACCCAATGTAAGTGTAACATGAAACGAATATAGCAATGTCTTATGTTTTAAGGAATACCCAACGTTGGTAACTTATACTAAATATAGTAATGCCCTAGGTTTTTAGGGAATACCTGTCATTGGTAAAACATATCAAATATAGTAATGTCTTGTTTGTTAAGGGAATACCCGGTGTTATAAGATATACTAAATATAGTGACGTCAGGGAATACCCAATGTTGATGTAACACATGCTAAATATAGAAATGGCTCTGTTTTTAGGGAATACCCAATGTTGGTAACACCTGCTACATGAATGCAGTACTACAGGTAAATATAGTTGGTAACATTCATCAAAACATCTAAATATCTTACTAGGAAACAAGGATTTTAGACTATGTTTTAAAGTATCCACATAAATTTGCTGTCTACTGCAGTGATGATGTTTTGACATACGGAGATATACAAATATTAACATGTAAATATTGACGTAAGGATAGTCTGTATTTAGGTATATACCCTCTGGTATGATAAGATATGATATCTTGCAGTATTAGTTCAAAGGTTGTCGGGTGTGGAGGGGTCACGTGGGATTGAATAATTTTCAGGTCAGCGACTCAAAGGTCATGTGATCTACTAAAATCTAATTAGTCAAACTTTTTTATGCTATGTAATTCTGTTCTTACAATCCGTCATGCAAATAGTCGATACAAAAGCTGCTTAGGAGGCCGGCCTGTGTTGGATTGCTCTGCTGGTTCAAAGTTAAAGGTCAATAGAATTAGTATACATAAAGTGTGAGAAAGTTGTGATTATATCGGTGTGGGTCTGCAGCTGTTCAGAATCTTACTGATGTCATCAACTTTGACGTCAATAACAACCGAGCCAATGTTTCCGATTGGTTGAAATTTTGCAATCTCAACTGTATCGATTATAGTGTCATAACAACAAAACTGGGCATCTGATTGGTTGAAATACCCCGATGAAGCTTTACGATATTTCAGAACTAATAGGTTTCTTAAAATTTACTGTGTGGCTTTCCTTGGACAGTAATTGTTGGATTTTAAATAAACAGATGTTTCTATTGTTTGTCAGGTGCTCTGCAGGACTCCAAATTTCAGAGAGCAATTGCAAACAGCCACACAAACAAGAGAAAATGGACAGAAGAGTAAACGAGTATATAATATCAGATCATCTGATGGTCACTGTAATCAAGAAATATCAGAAAAAATCCATCATAGTTAATATTTTATCTTATTGTAATCTCCCGTCTATATCATCACATGTCCATCTCCCGTCTATATCATCACATGTCTATCTCCCATCTATATCATCACATGACTATCTCCCGTCTATATTATCACATGACTCTCTTCCGTCTATATCATCACATGTCTATCTCCCGTCTATATCATCACATGACTATCTCCCGTCTATATCATCACATGTCCATCTCCCGTCTATATCATCACATGACTCTCTCCCGTCTATATCATCACATGTCCATCTCCCGTCTATATCATCACATGACTCTCTCCCGTCTATATCATCACATGTCTATCTCCCGTCTATATCATCACATGACTATCTCCCGTCTATATCATCACATGTCCATCTCCCGTCTATATCATCACATGACTCTCTCCCGTCTATATCATCACATGTCCATCTCCCGTCTATATCATCACATGTCCATCTCCCGTCTATATCATCACATGTCCATCTCCCGTCTATATCATCACATGACTCTCTCCCGTCTATATCATCACATGTCCATCTCCCGTCTATATCATCACATGACTCTCTCCCGTCTATATCATCACATGTCCATCTCCCGTCTACATCATCACATGACTCTCTCCCGTCTATATCATCACATGACTATCTCCCGTCTATATCATCACATGTCTATCTCCCGTCTATATCATCACATGACTATCTCCCGTCTATATCAGCATATGTCCATCTCCCGTCTATATCATCACATGACTCTCTCCCGTCTATATCATCACATGTCTATCTCCCGTCTATATCATCACATTACTATCTCCCGTATATATCATCACATGTCCATCTCCCGTCTATATCATCACATGACTCTCTCCCGTCTATATCATCACATTACTATTTCCCGTCTATATCATCACATGACTCTCTCCCGTCTACCTCATCACATTACTATCTCCCGTCTATATCATCACATGACTATCTTCCGTCTACATCCCGTCTATATCATCACATGTCTATCTCCCGTCTATATCATCACATGACTATCTCCCGTCTATATCATCACATGACTATCTCCCGTCTACCTCATCACATTACTATCTCCCGTCTATATCATCACATGTCCATCTCCCGTCTATATCATCACATGACTCTCTCCCGTCTACGTCATCACATTACTATCTCCCGTCTATATCATCACATGGTCTACATCATCACATGACTCTCTCCCGTCTATATCATCACATGTCTATCTCCTGTCTATATCATCACATGACTCTCTCCCGTCTATATCATCTCATCACATGACTCTCTCCCGTCTATATCATCACATGTCCATCTCCCGTCTACATCATCACATGTCCATCTCCTGTCTATATCATCACATGTCCATCTCCCGTCTATATCATCACATGACTCTCTCCCGTCTATATCATCACATGTCTATCTCCCGTCTATATCATCACATGACTATCTCCCGTCTATATCAGCATATGTCTATCTCCCGTCTACATCCCGTCTATATCATCACATGTCCATCTCCCGTCTACATCATCACATGTCCATCTCCCGTCTATATCATCACATGACTCTCTCCCGTCTATATCATCACATGACTCTCTCCCGTCTATATCATCACATGTCCATCTCCCGTCTATATCATCACATGTCCATCTCCCGTCTATATCATCACATGACTATCTCCCGTCTATATCATCACATGACTCTCTCCCGTCTATATCATCACATGACTCTCTCCTGTCTATATCATCACATGTCCATCTCCCGTCTATATCATCACATGACTCTCTCCCGTCTACCTCATCACATGACTATCTCCCGTCTATATCATCACATTACTATCTCCCGTCTATATCATCACATGACTCTCTCCCGTCTATATCATCACATGTCCATCTCCCGTCTATATCATCACATGACTTTCTCCCGTCTATATCATCACATGTCTGTCTCCTGTCTATATCATCACATGTCCATATCCCGTCTATATCATCACATGTCCATATCCCGTCTATATCATCACATGACTATCTCCCGTCTATATCATCACATGTCTATCTCCCGTCTATATCATCACATTACTATCTCCCGTATATATCATCACATGTCCATCTCCCGTCTATATCATCACATGTATATCTCCCGTCTATATCATCACATGTTTCTTAATTCTGTTTCATCCCGTCTATATCATCACATGTCTATCTCCTTGTCTGTATATATCATCACATGTCCATATCCCGTCTATATCATCACATGACTCTCTCCCGTCTATATCATCACATGTCTAATCTCCTGTCTATATCATCACATCCATCTCCCGTCACATATATGTCTATCTCCCGTCTATATCATCACATTACTATCTCCCGTATATATCATCACATGTCCATCTCCCGTCTATATCATCACATGTATATATCCTTTCAATGTCATCACATGTTTCTTAATTCTGTTTATGCGAAGTCGCAGTCTTAATCATATCTATGACCTTCGGCTACTGTATGATAACAGATGAACTTAATTGTATGTATACTCCAGAAAAGTCTTTACTGTGCTAAGACTCAACCTTGGTCTTATTACAGGAAATTGTCTTAATACACTGGTCATTAAACTCTCGTCACAATACACAGATCATTCTACTCTTGTCACAATATACTGGTCACTATACTCTAGTCACAATATACTGGTCACTCTACTCTTGTCACAATATACTCGTCAGTCTACTCTTGTCACAATATACTGGCCACTATACTCTCGTCACAATATACTGGTCACTATACTCTCGTCACAATATACTGGTCACTGTACTCTCGTCACAATATACTGGTCACTCTACTCTCGTCACAATATACCGCTCACTGTATTCTCGTCACAATATACTGGTCACTATACTCTCGTCACAATATACTGGTCACTATACTCTCGTCACAATATACTGGTCACTATACTCTCGTCACAATATACTAGTCATTATACTTTCGTCAAAATATACTGGTCACTGTACTCTCGTCACAATATACTGGTCATTATACTCTCGTCACAATATTCTGGTCACTTTACTCTCGTCACAATATACTGGTCACTGTACTCTCGTCACAAAAAACTGGTCACTGTACTCTCGTCAAAATATACTGGTCACTATAATCTCGTCACAATATACTGGTCATTATACTCTCGTCACAAAATACTGGTCACTGTACTCTGGTCACTATATTCTGGTCACTATACTCTCGTCACATTATACTGGTCACTGTACTTTCGTCACAATATATTGGTCACTCTATTCTCGTCACAATATAATGGTCACTGTACTCTCGTCACAATATACTGGTCACTATACTCTCGTCACAGTATATTGAGCACTTAGAAAAGTCGGCGAGCAAAGAAACATCTATTGATGTTGTAATGTATATTGACCCCCTGTGTGCCCATAGGAATTAAAAGACACGAGTCCCAAAAATGCCCACTTCTACTCTATATGACATTGTTATCTCTTTGCTTTGACAGGGAATTATAACAAGATTATCTGCTTGGTCATTGGGACTGTTAGAAAGAATAACACAACAAGCTACGTTTTGTCAGTCACCACCACAGCTTGATGTTTCCCTGCTACAACTTGCTGATGCAGTCCTTTTTGGTTCGGACGTGCCTTCAAAACTGCCCAGAGCTGTCCTTGATGCTGTTAGAGAACTGTACGTGCTAAGCAGAAAATAAAAAATACGGAATTCATTTTCTACTCAAATTTGATCTAAATAAATGTGTAAATTGGGCATAAAACGCTATATATACAGTAATACTGTTGATTCGACCTTGCAGTTTTAATTATCTCTCGTAATTGTACCCAAGTTTGATATATACGTATATATGATAGTTTTTTTTAATGCTGGAAATGCTTATTTTGATAAAAAGTATTATTTTTCTAGTGACGATCAGTTCAAAGGGAATGAACAACAAGATAGTTATCAACTGTTTAATACAGTGATTGGTGGACTGGAGGATCTGTGTTCGGTAGGTAATATTATAGGTATACTGGGTGTGGACTGGATGATCTGTGTTCGGTAATGTTATAGATATACTGGGTGTGGACAGGAGGATCTGTGTTCGGTAGGTAATGTTATAGATATACTGGGTGTGGACTGGAGGATCTGTGTTCGGTAGGTAATGTTATAGATATACTGGGTGTGGACTGGAGGATCTGTGTTCGGTAGGTAATGTTATAGATATACTGGGTGTGGACAGGAGGATCTGTGTTCGGTAGGTAATGTTATAGATATACTGGGTGTGGACTGGAGGATCTGTGTTCGGTAGGTAATGTTATAGATATACTGGGTGTGGACTGGAGGATCTGTGTTCGGTAATGTTATAGATATACTGGGTGTGGACTGGAGGATCTGTGTTCGGTAGGTAATGTTATAGATATACTGGGTGTGGACTGGAGGATCTGTGTTCGGTAGGTAATGTTATAGATATACTGGGTGTGGACTGGAGGATCTGTGTTCGGTAGGTAATGTTATAGATATACTGGGTGTGGACTGGAGGATCTGTGTTCGGTAGGTAATGTTATAGATATACTGGGTGTGGACTGGAGGATCTGTGTTCGGTAGGTAATGTTATAGATATACTGGGTGTGGACTGGAGGATCTGTGTTCGGTAGGTAATGTTATAGATATACTGGATGTGGACTGGAGGATCTGTGTTCGGTAGGTAATGTAATAGATATACTGGGTGTGGACTGGAGGATCTGTGTTCGGTAATGTTATATATATACTGGGTGTGGACTGGAGGATCTGTGTTAGGTAGGTAATGTTATAGGTATACTGGGTGTGGACTGGAGGATCTGTGTTCGGTAGGTAATGTTATAGATATACTGGGTGTGGACTGGAGGATCTGTGTTCGGTAATGTTATAGGTATACTGGGTGTGGAATGGAGGATCTGTGTTCGGTAGGTAATGTTATAGGTATACTGGGTGTGGACTGGAGGATCTGTGTTCGGTAATGTTATAGATATACTGGATGTGGACTGGAGGATCTGTGTTCGGTAGGTAATGTTATAGGTATACTGGGTGTGGACTGGAGGATCTGTGTTCGGTAATGTTATAGATATACTGGATGTGGACTGGAGGATCTGTGTTCGGTAGGTAATGTTATAGATATACTGGGTGTGGACTGGAGGATCTGTGTTCGGTAATGTTATAGATATACTGGGTGTGGACTGGAGGATCTGTGTTCGGTAGGTAATGTTATAGGTATACTGGGTGTGGACTGGATGATCTGTGTTCGGTAATGTTATAGATATACTGGATGTGGACTGGAGGATCTGTGTTCGGTAGGTAATGTTATAGATATACTGGGTGTGGACTGGAGGATCTGTGTTCGGTAGGTAATGTTATAGATATACTGGGTGTGGACTGGAGGATCTGTGTTCGGTAGGTAATGTTATAGATATACTGGGTGTGGACTGGAGGATCTGTGTTCGGTAATGTTATAGATATACTGGGTGTGGACTGGAGGATCTGTGTTAGGTAGGTAATGTTATAGGTATACTGGGTGTGGACTGGAGGATATGTGTTCGGTAGGTAATGTTATAGGTATACTGGGTGTGGACTGGATGATCTGTGTTCGGTAATGTTATAGATATACTAGGTGTGGACAGGAGGATCTGTGTTCGGTAGGTAATGTTATAGATATACTGGGTGTGGACTGGAGGATCTGTGTTCGGTAGGTAATGTTATAGATATACTGGGTGTGGACTGGAGGATCTGTGTTCGGTAGGTAATGTTATAGATATACTGGGTGTGGACTGGAGGATCTGTGTTCGGTAGGTAATGTTATAGATATACTGGGTGTGGACTGGAGGATCTGTGTTGGGTAGGTAATGTTATAGATACACTGGGTGTGGACTGGAGGATCTGTGTTGGGTAGGTAATGTTATAGATACACTGGGTGTGGACTGGAGGATCTGTGTTCGGTAGGTAATGTTATAGATATACTGGGTGTGGACTGGAGGATCTGTGTTGGGTAATGTTATGGATATACTGGGTGTGGACTGGAGGATCTGTGTTCGGTAGGTAATGTTATATATATACTGGGTGTGGACTGGAGGATCTGTGTTCGGTAGGTAATGTTATAGATATACTGGGTGTGGACTGGAGGATCTGTGTTGGGTAATGTTATAGATATACTGGGTGTGGACTGGAGGATCTGTGTTCGGTAGGTAATGTTATATATATACTGGGTGTGGACTGGAGGATCTGTGTTCGGTAGGTAATGTTATAGATATACTGGGTGTGCACTGGGGGGGGGGGGGGGGTTGTGTGATGGGTTTGTGATTGGTTTGATCAATCTTTAAGGGTCTGCTTTCATAATCGAGTTACAACTCTAGGTAGTTTTGTATTGTGAAAAGGGAAGCACGGGCGGGGAATTTACCAATTCACAATATCTTTCAAGTTATACACAAGTATCTTTTATATACCTTTGATGACTTTATACATTACATCACTGTTAGACATGATGTTTTGTGTTACCGGTATATAAATATGATGTTTGTGTTACTGGTTATAAACATGATGTTTGTGTTACCGGTGTATAAACATGATGTTTGTGTTACTGGTATATAAATATGATGTTTGTGTTACTGGTTATAAACACGATGTTTGTGTTACTGGTTATAAACACGATGTTTGTGTTACTGGTATATAAACATGATGTTTGTGTTACTGGTATATAAACATGATGTTTGTGTTACTGGTTATAAACACGATGTTTGTGTTACTGGTATATAAACACGATGTTTGTGTTACTGGTTATAAACACGATGTTTGTGTTACTGGTATATAAACATGATGTTTGTGTTACTGGTTATAAACACGATGTTTGTGTTACTGGTGTATAAACACGATGTTTGTGTTACTGGTTATAAACATGATGTTTGTGTTACTGGTATATAAACATGATGTTTGTGTTACTGGTTATAAACATGATGTTTGTGTTACTGGTATATAAACATGATGTTTGTGTTACTGGTTATAAACGTGATGTTTGTGTTACTGGTTATAAACACGATGTTTGTGTTACTGGTTATAAACATGATGTTTGTGTTACTGGTTATAAAACAATGTTTGTGTTACTGGTATATAAACATGATGTTTGTGTTACTGGTTATAAACATGGTGTTTGTGTTACTGGTTATAAACATGATGTTTGTGTTACTGGTTATAAAAATGATGTTTGTTTTATTGGTTATAAACATTATGTTTGTGTTACTGGTGTTTTAACATAATACTGATGTTGCTTGTGTTAACACATTTTCGTTTCGAAGTGTGATGCAGTTAAGCATAAAAATGGCAGTAAGTTTGCCAATTGGTTGTTTTTATGTTTTCAGGTTGAAGCGAGAGACCGTACCAACGGATCAGGTTAGTTAAAACTGGATTTTTCAGTATAATAAATTTTTTCGAGCGCTTTATTTTACATATTCGTGGCTGTACTTGTCAATGAGCCTAAATAACTTGCTTCATCTTTTCTTCATATGTCTGGATAGAATGATGTAAAAAGTATTGATTGGGTGGTCAGATTTGGCCTGAAATGACATACTAATTGAGTTTGTATCACCTTCAACACACTTCGAGTTTTTATTTCCATTTTGTGATTAAATATTCAAATTTGGAAAAGATTATTCATCAGAACTCATCTGTAAATAATTCAGAAATTCAAAATCAATCGGATTCATCACCATTGTTAAAATTGAAAACAGGGACAATTCTTCCTCCTATTGATTACTGAAGACAACAGAACCTACAAACACAACATGTAAACAAAATGATTACAAAAAAAAATATGGAAAAGCAGTAATACTCCTATATCAGTTTTCTAAACTTGTCAGTTTTATAGACAGAGACGTTAGAAGAATTTCTAAACATGTTAGATTTAGAGACAAAAGAGTTGATGACATTTCTAAGCATGTCAGTTTCAGAGACAAAAGAGTTGATAAAATCTCTAAATGTGTCACTTCGCGAAAAAAAAAAATGGATACAATCTCTAAACATTTTAGTTTCAGAGACAATAGAGTTGATGAAATTTGTAAATGTGTCACTTTCAGAAAAAGAAAACTGGATAAAATCTCTAAACGTGTCAGTTTCAGAGACAAAAGAGTTGATACAATTTCTAAATGTGTCAGTTTCAGAGAAAGAAGTGTTGATAAAATCTCTAAACATGTCAGTTTCAGAGACAGAAGAGTTGATACAATTTCTAAATGTGTCAGTTTCAGAGACAAAAGAGTTGATACAGTTTCTAAACATGTCAGTTTCAGAGACAGAAGAGTTGATACAATTTCTAAATGTGTCAGTTTCAGAGACAAAAGAGTTGATAAAATCTCTAAACATGTCAGTTTCAGAGACAAAAGAGTTGATAAAATCTCTAAACATGTCCGTTTCAGAGACCAAAGGGTTGATAAAATCTCTAAACATGTCAGTTTCAGAGACAGAAGTGTTGATAAAATCTCTAAACATGTCAGTTTCAGAGACAGAAGACTTGATGAATAGATCCCCGGTATCTCTTTTATTTGGAGGCGTGTTCTGTACCGTGTACACATACAACACTTGTAACCACGTGAGTACCAGAAAAACACCGCCATGTTTATGTGACTACTATCAGAATAATTTTACTGCTGACACATGAGAACGCCTATAGAACATTGTAGTTGTCTGAAGTACCCCGACGATGTAACATTTTGGGGAAAATAAAGGTCAATACATTTCTTCCACATAAGCTCTCATTTCATGTATAGAAAACAGCATTTTGTATTGGATGTAACTGTCGAGCATGAATAGTGCGTAATTTTCGACAAAGATCCGACTGGATCTCATCAGATGCAGTCAGTCTGTACCATTGCCTCATTTTCTATTGTTTTATACGTTTGACAGGCTGAGCCAGTATTCCAGAGATTTACCAGTATACCGATACATATCCAACAGACCTCACCAAATCCTTTCAACGGAGTTGAGGTAAATTATACCAAAGGATTAACAGAGCTAATCTCCAAGTCTTTAAGATTATTATGTTTATTGAGAAACTACGTAAACAAAATAGCTTAATGATACAACGGATACTTAATTAATAAATGAAATATTTTTGTTGTACTTTGACAATCCCTGTAATTTGGAATCACTGCCAACTGCTAATGTTTTTTTTTACGTTTGTTTGATATAAATATGATGATTTTTCGAATATTTGTTGTTGATATATAGTTGATGTGATGGTCAAAATATTTAAATATTTTTTTACAACAGCCTACGTCACAACGCCAAGAGGAAACTGACTGTCGAGCAAATGTGTCACCACAACCAGATATCGCTTTGCCACCACACCCAACGGAGGTTTACAATAAACCAACAAATTTACAACACCAAGGGGAAGTTGTTACGAAAATACAAGCAGAGACTGACTCTCATACTACTTTACAATTCCTTAATGAGGTTGACAGTACCAATAATTCACCACAGCACGTAGAATCGGACAGACAAACTGTATCAACAAGCGGAGATGAGGTTGAGAGCCAAAATGTTTCAGCACAGAAATGGGGAGTCGACTGTCAGACTCGATCATCCAACTCACAGATTACAGAGTCAAGAGGTCCAGATGGGACTGGTGGTCGGAGGACTATTTCACCGAAGGAGGAGGAGGCTTGCCGAACGAATGTGTTGCCACATCCAAAAGAGGTGGAAGACGCCACCAATTCTCACGTACAGCAGGAAGACAGTGACGACGTATCACCATACTCATGTAAGGCTGCAGCCAAGACAGAAGTGTTCAAACAAACAGACGAATCCGTCATCCAAGACATTCTGTCGCCACAGACAGACGAGACGGACGAGTGTGAAAACCTAAATAATGTTTTAAAACAGGAAGAGGGGGCAGACATCTACACAAACGACCTAACAAAAGCTGAACATAGGGAATCGTGCTACGACATGAAGAGGACAGATTTAAATGACGTCTATGTTAACTTATTTGATGAACATGATCAAAATATCGAAACAAGAAAGATGAGAAATGCAGATGAAAATGATATGGATGCCAGCTTTGCCGGAGTAAAAGAGATTGCAGTCACAAACATCCAAGGAAGTGATTCGAAAGGTAGAAACAGACCGGACATGGAACCAGACACGATAGAACAGACATTATCAGCACTAGAACACAGAGAGAGATTCTATCCCGACGACAAATTATCACACCTGGAGAGAGGTCTGAGACATTTTGCAGAAGTTAACGAAATCGATGGTGCCATGTCATGTAGAACATGTGAAAAGACAGGCAAATCTGTCTCAGAAGGTAACTACCGCAATGTTAACAAAGAACATCAGTTATGTAAATTATTGAAGACCACCAGATATTTCGAATTTAATAACGTTTTTGTTAACACGATGAGTACATGAAAGACAGCAGTAAAATGTGTTTGATTTATGGAAGTATAACAAGTTAATGCCTGTCAAGAACGCTTCCCTGTTTAATATTTCTGCAATGTAGTAATGTGTTGTTTTGCAGCATTGGCCACGAAAACTCGGAGCCAGAACATGTTGATGGCTGTGCCTCCAGTGTTGGTGTTTCAGTTCAATAGATTCGAAATGGTATCCTACTTTATTATATCGTAAAGATTTTCAGGTCGTCTAATCGCCATATTTCTGTTGTCATGCGTTGTTCAATGTGGGTAACTTCTCCCCTGGGGACGGGATGAAGTTTACTATAGTGATTATCGGTCAGGAGACAATTTTGAGTCTATTGTGTTTACATTCATTGAAAAATGATTAAAATTTGATGAGAAATGTTCGTAAAAGACGACAATATGATAGTTTGCACACATTTAATTTGGTCAATACCGAGATGCTAATGATCGGGACCAAAAACGTTCAAATTGACTAAAACTTTTTTTTAAAAAATATCCAAATTCGGATACAGTATAACAAAACTATATTATTATTGAGTGTAAATTTTAGTATAAATGTTATAGGAATAATTACATTTGTTTAATTCTGATTAGAAATAATTCAAACTTGGTAGGAATTATTAGTATGAGACGGCAACTAACATAGAGTTTGTTGACATTGGCTGATCCTGGGGGCTTACGAGCGAGACCGGGGTCAAAGGGACCTAATTTTACACATCTTCTCCACACTAAGATACGGTAGAACCAAATACTCTTCCATGTTGCTTTACCTAGATTACAAATTCGTTGACATCAAAAATGTTAATGTCTTTCCTGCGGTAGGAGTTAAGTTGTTCTCTCTCTCTCTTTGTTTTGTCTATACGTATCTGATTTCCGAGATTTCTGAAAAAAATTATCGCTTAGTTAATGTGATTAAATGATATGTTAAGTAATTAAACATGTTAGTTTCACATCAGCCTGAGGTTGGCATCGAAATACGCTTAAACTGCACAGAATGTATTATATATCTGTGCTGATAAATAATATTTTCTATATATTTGTGTAGAACTTAAATGATGGCAGGCTTCAAAAGATGGATGGAAAATTGACTTACCCGGAATATCTAGACACGACTCCGTTTTGTTTTCCCGGTATGGCTGTTTTGAATGTAAGTACCTATGTACAAGATATAGGTAAGCTATTCTAACTTACACCCGGTGCATGGTCTAGATTATCAGCCCGCTCAGATCACTTTTCCCATTTTCACGTTTGACACGATGCCTTGAGAAGATTCAACATAATGTTTAACACCTTAGTTTCTATAAATACATTTTACTTCTACCTTTTTCGTTGTTAGGGTCAAGAGACAACAACGTAAAATATGACTTGTTCGAAATAGGATTTAATTATTATGGAAGGAATATTTCTTTACAAAAGAGTTCAACAAGGGAGACAAATAGGGACAATTACCTCCTTACATCAATAGACAAATACAAATGTTAAACACGTGGGTGATTTATTACAATATAAGTATATAACAAAAGGATATGAGTGTCATCAGTCACATGACATTACCAGTAAAATCAAATAACGTTCAGTATCACGTGGTTTAAGATTTGAGAATTTAACTCACTGTCTTCTTAATCTCTATACCATTTATAGGATAGGTTATGTTTCGTTTTGTTTTTGTTTCGTTTTGTATTTTTTCTATAATACAGCAATTTCTCATTCTACATTCAGAATGAGAGCAATCCCGACACGGAACAAAAGCTGTATCGCCTTTATGGCGTGGTATGTCACATGGGATCAATTCACGGGGGTCACTACACCGTCCACGTTCGTACCACTGGACACCAAGAAGCAGACATAAAAAGGAGATTTCTCAGTAACACGTGGCGCGATCCAGAGAGGTCTGTAGAAAGTATCATAAAATACTGGGAAGGAAGGACACAGGATTCCGGAATGCATGTACAACAAAATACTGTCCCTTCCGGAAGTTACCAATCTAAACAGAACAACGACACGTGGTACACAATCAGTGATAAAACAGTCACAGAATGCACCGAATATTCTGCACTCAGTGACCCTAACGCTTACCTCTTGATGTACGAAAGAATCACACCTTCATAGACTTATTTTTTTGTGAAATAAGGCAGAACTGAAATAAATTATCGTTGTCATTCATTATTATCTAAACGGTGATGAGGTGAGTAGTATGACAAATAATGGCGATAGTTATGGTGGTCATTTTGTCTGTTTAAGACTTGTCAATGTGGTACAGTGTCAAACATGTATTTCTGTATATAGTCATTTTGTCTGTTTAAGACTTGTCAATGTGGTACAGTGTCAAACATGTATTTCTGTATATAGTCATTTTGTCTGTTTAAGACTTGTCAATGTGGTACAGTGTCAAACATGTATTTCTGTATATAGTCATTTTGATTGCACTAGTCCGATGAACAAAAGATAAATAACAGTTTCTGAAATAATCGGAATCATGCAAATGTTTCTTTGTATTATTTACATCAGTTACATATGCGTTTGATACATGTATGGTTTAGTACACTGCAATAAGACCCTAAGGAATCGTATCACCAACCCCCCCCCCCAATCACCCCTACCCCCACCCATCAACCCCACCCCCTATCACACCCACCCCCATCACCCCCACCCCCTCCGCACATCCACCCCCATCCACACCCACACCCCACCATTTTACCCATTCCGATGGTACAACTAAACCGCTGTATAAAGTCAGTACCTTGAAGGCAATGCTACATGTTCTAGTATTGACGTTCAGTACAAAAACCTATTGAAATAGTAGCACACTGTAGGTTTTGTGTGTTTTCTGGTATTTTTGGCATGCAGTGGAAATATGTTGGAACATGATAAACGAAGAAAACTTTTTTATGGTTATATCTGCAATACTAGTCGTAGTTGTACCTGATGGATATAGTCAATGTCCTGCGCATGCGTGTGTCAATAACATACCTTATAAGTGGGTACAATCCCACGTAATTCACTGTGCATTGATATTGATATATATGGTGTCTGTTATCTACCACATATTCTATCTGTGTCTCTGTTTGCGAGTTTATCTATTTATACTGAGTGTCTGGTGTTGTGTCTTGTCAAGTCTAAGTGTCTGGTGTTGTTCTTGTCAAGTCTTTTGTGTCTTGTCAAGTCTGAGTGTATGTGTTGTGTCTTGTCAAGTCTGAGTGTCTGGTGTTGTGTCTTGTCAAGTCTGAGTGTATGGTGTTGTGTCTTGTCAAGTCTGAGTGTATGGTGTTGTGTCTTGGCAAGTCTTTTGTGTCTTGTCAAGTCTGAGTGTATGGCGTTGTATCTTGTCAAGTCTGAGTGTATGGTGTTGTGTCTTGTCAAGTCTGAGTGTATGGTGTTGTGTCTTGGCAAGTCTTTTGTGTCTTGTCAAGTCTGAGTGTATGGTGTTGTGTCTTGTCAAGTCTTTTGTGCCTTGTCAAGTCTGATTGTCTGTTGTTAATCATTAAAGGGTATTGACTCTGTATTATATACAAGATAAGCTGGGTGATATTTTCTTTCATTTGTAGAGACACTAACGTCAAAGAGAGAAAATCAATTTGAACATTAACGTTTAGCTTATTAGAAAAACAAAATGGCCGACAAGAGGCCCTCTTAGATTTCACCGCGTAAAGTTTATTATGGTTATTTCTTAAGAAGCACGGAACGGATCTCTCTCAAACTTCACATGTAGATCCCCCTTGGTCCCTAGTTGTACCCATTGGATTTTTGGACTGATCAGAAAAAACAAAATGGCCAACAAGATGCCATCATAGATTTCAACAATGAAAATGTGTTATCGCTATTTCTGGAGAAGTAATGGATGTTTTTTTATATCGAATTTGAGATAAAAAAATCCCCTTACGTCCCTAGATCTGGCAGTTAAAGATTACTATCGTTATTGCTGCAACGGAATGTTCAAATTTCATATCATTAAGAGCAAATACAGAGAAGAACAGAGAAAAGAAGAGAAACTTTTATGGAACAAATGAACATGAAACAATGTTGTTTTACATAGTTGAAAAATATGGGAATTTTGTCAATTTATAGTGTAAATATTGAAAATGTTTGTATCTTAAATTTGTTGGTTGGAGAAATAAAGAAAGTAAAATGTTACCCAGGCATATTATTTTTGGTTCTTTTTTATTGTCATAATCCATCTATCCAGGTATCTGTGTACAGTTTTCATGTAACGATATATAAAATCACAGAATTAAAAAAGGTTTTAGTCCATATATTTACATTCTGTGATGAACTGATAATGTAAACCCCTGATTCCTACTGGCCACAAATAGGACTTACAGGGGAAATAATATAACTTGTACACAATACCACAGGGACCTCCTACAGGCCACAACAGGACTTACAGGGGAAATAATATAACACAATACCACCGGGACCTCCTACAGGCCACAACAGGACTTACTGGGAAATAATATAACACAATACCACAGGGACCTCCTGCAGGCCACAACAGGACTTACAGGGGAAATAATATAACTTGTACACAATATTACAGGGACCTCCTACAGGCCACAACAGGACTTACAGGAGAAATGATATAACACAATACCACAGGGACCTCCTACAGGCCACAACAGGACTTACAGGGGAAATAATATAACACAATACCACAGGGACCTCCTACAGGCCACAACAGGACTTACAGGGGAAATAATATAACTTGTACACAATACCACAGGGACCTCCTACAGGCCACAACAGGACTTACAGGAGAAATAATATAACACAATACCACAGGGACCTCCTACAGGCCACAACAGGACTTACAGGGGAAATAATATAACTTGTACACAATACCACAGGGACCTCCTACAGGCCACAACAGGACTTACAGGAGAAATAATATAACACAATACCACAGGGACCTCCTACAGGCCACAACAGGACTTACAGGGGAAATAATATAACACAATACCACAGGGACCTCCTACAGGCCACAACAGGACTTACAGGGGAAATAATATAACTTGTACACAATACCACAGGGACCTCCTACAGGCCACAACAGGACTTACAGGGGAAATAATATAACACAATACCACAGGGACCTCCTACAGGCCACAACAGGACTTACAGGGGAAATAATATAACTTGTACACAATACCACAGGGACCTCCTACAGGCCACAACAGGACTTACAGGAGAAATAATATAACACAATACCACAGGGACCTCCTACAGGCCACAACAGGACTTACAGGGGAAATAATATAACTTGTACACAATATTACAGGGACCTCCTACAGGCCACAACAGGACTTACAGGGGAAATAATATAACTTGTACACAATACCACAGGGACCTCCTACAGGCCACAACAGGACTTACAGGGGAAATAATATAACACAATACCCCAGGGACCTCCTACAGGCCACAACAGGACTTACAGGGGGAATAATATAACTTGTACACAATATTACAGGGACCTCCAACTCTTTATCTTGTAACTGGCGTTGCTAGTGTCCGAATTCACCTGCAACATATGTTTTTACTAAATTAGGCAGTGACAGTTATAATTCCAGCACGTGCGTCAGTTTGATAAAATTGCCTTCTGATTTTATAACATAACATTCAAAAATGTAATGAACTGTTCAAATAAGCTATTATGTTTGTTGAAGCAAGCAAGTTTATTTACAAAAATTCGGTAAATTGCTTTTTATATCCTTGGCATTGTGGAACTATATTTCCGTGCGGAGCAATTATTTTGACGTGCGTCATCAAGCACGAATCAGCTAACATCAACACCTGGTAAACACAGATTGAATTTGCTTATCAAATTGTTGAAGTTTCGATAGTCTGATTTTTCAATTAGTGTTGAAAGAAAAACAGAAAGACAAATGGTTCACCAACGGCGCGCCACATTTGTCTTTCTTCACCTTCGTCAAGATACGGTTTATAAATAAATATGCTGACCACGTATTTTCTATATACATGTATAAAATTAATATGTAAGCGTGTACACGCACACAAATAAGTGCATGCGAAGGCCAGTGTTGCATTTTATGTTATATAAAGATTTTAAGATTAGAGTTTTGTTTTCAGACGTACATAAATAGAACGAGAGTTAGATCATATACTCTCGTGTGCCAAATAAACGTACATGTACGTTTATTTTTTATGGGAAAAAATACGCCCTGTACGATGCTTATTTGAGTCTGTACGTTTTCTGAAAAATCTTGTAAAAAAATCAGCTCGCTGGCGAGCTTCGCCTACCGCGCCACGATTGAAAAAAAACAATGTTCTGTCCCAAGGAAAACTCTATTGCGAACCCCCGTAACTGGTGACCTGATGGTATCGTCCACCGTCGGTAAAACGAAGACGACTAGGCTCAACATTGCATCGCATTTTCAGTTCGACCGAAGCGGAATCTCAAAATTCGTGAATGGAAAACACATTTGTTTGATATTCCCGTGATGTGTGATTATCAACTGTCTATCACTGCTTACTTCAAAACGCGAGATCATATTTTCACCGTGTTGCGACGAACGTCCCCTCGGAACATAACCGGAAATGGAATCGCCCAATCTGTCCTTGGCCGAAATCGTGCTGATAGGGTGTTACCAACATTTCATTTCATTTTGAAGATGCTGTACTTTTAATCCCCTTTACTTTTATGAATTCCCAAAGAATTGTCCGCCCTGTACTTTTATTCCGCCCGGTACTTTTATTTGGCACACGAGACTAGTTAGAATGTGCTTACTAACATTGCAAATGACTCCAGTACATTCTATCCAGTTTGGTACAAGTCTGTTTGGGAATAAGACCAACTTTCTCCCATACATACAATGTATGTACACGCGCATTTTAAGTCATTTTAAAGAATCTGGACTTGCCTCATATAGCAAGGCTCGCAAAAATTAAACATTATGCGCTCAAAGCGATGTCTATCTGAGATAAGTGAAAAAACTACGACCGGCATTTTAGTCCGAGATCGGCTGTACACGTCTTCTGTACACGTATTTACAATAAAAAAAATCTGCTTAATTTGCCAATGAAAAATGCCAGTATAATGCAGACGATTTAAAAACCCAAGATTTTCTCGAAACATTGAAATTTCCTTGAACATCATCACGTTATCTTATATCTGTATATACGTGTTTAGTGTGACACATATACAGTGACATGTGTACCGAGTGTGTGTGAGACGTATTTAGTGTGACACGTATATAGTGACACGTGTACCGAGTGTGTGTGAGACGTATTTAGTGTGACACATATACAGTGACATGTGTACCGGGTGTGTGTATGTGAGACGTATTTAGTGTGACACGTATACAGTGACATGTGTACCGGGTGTGTGTATGTGAGACGTATTTAGTGTGACACGTATAGAGTGACATGTGTCCCGGGTGTGTGTATGTGAGACGTATTTAGTGTGACACATATACAGTGACGTGTGTACCGGGTGTATGTAAGACACGTATTTAGTGTGACACATATAAAGTGACATGTGTACCGGGTGTATGTGAGACACGTATTTAGTGTGACACGTATACAGTGACATGTGTACCGCGTGTTTGTGAGACGTATTTAGAGTGACACGGATACAGTGACATGTGTACCGGGTGTGTGTGAGATGTAATTAGTGTGACACGTATACAGTGACATGTGTACCGGGTGTGTGTGAGATGTAATTAGTGTGACACGTATACAGTGACATGTGTACCGGGTGTGTGTGAGACGTGTTTAGTGTGACACGTGTACAGTGACATGTGTACCGGGTGTGTGTGAGACGTGTTTAGTGTGACACGTATACAGTGACATGTGTACCGAGTGTGTGTGAGACGTATTTAGGGTGACACGTATAGAGTGACATGTGTACCGGGTGTGTGTATGTGAGACGTATTTAGGGTGACACGTATACAGTGACATGTGTACCGGGTGTATATGAGATATATTTAGTGTGACACGTAGGTTTCGCTGTTTTGTTAAAAAATTCTATTTATAGACAAAATTTCTCTCCAATCCGTTGTTATAGATTTTGTTGTACCTTCTATGGAATCGTTTGAATAATGAATATGTTGAGGTTAAATAAGCCAAAAACTAACGAGGATGATGAAAACAAATATTAGTGACAGTATTAGTGCTTCGTGTGAAACACGACATAATCAGTAATCGGGACAAGATTTTAAAGATGTCAGAGTTTAGTACTTATTGAACCCTGATATTTGTATATGCCTTGATCTTTATTTCAAGGTAACAGAACGTTTAAAAGTAATTCATTGAGTAAATAAGATTAACTCTGACCTTAAATCTATTTATAACTGGATTGTGAAGACGTGGATATTCTACTTTCACTTTTGGTTTACGTGCAGTGATGGTGTCAACTATACTCGCCTTCTTGTGTCGGATTATTCTGCTAATAACTTTCATAGCGAGCAATGATGAGCACGTTCCTTCCTTTTATGGTCTACCTGGGTACAGTCTCGTGAGTTTACGTGCCTGGGAGAGTCTTCTAATACCACGTGATTTTAACTGGATTGTGAATATTCCACAGACGTTGATATCGCCATTGTGCAGTTTCGCCACTGTTTTAATCGAAGTCTGGACTTGGATAGAAAGGTGGACGAGTGATTTTTATTCATGGTTCGTTAAAAAAGATTATAAGACACTTCAGTGCGACATGAATGACGATTTCATCTTTCCGAACACCTTTTATCAAAATGTTCAGACTGTGGCACCACCAAGCAGTTTCTATGATAACAATACAGTAACCAGGCCTACAGATACCTCTATACCACAGAAGGATTTTAACTTATGTCTACTAGGTGTCGTGGTGCTATTGCTGGTGATTGTGTACTTTTGTTGCAAAGAAAACGGAGAATTTTCGAAAGTAAGTACTAAAACATTGTTTTATAAATCATGATGATATTAAGGATACTGGTCCAATAATAATGTTGTTCCGTTTATTTTTATATTTGTATATATTTGATATATGTGGTCGAATGGAAATTTTAAGATAACACAGTCAAGATAACGTAACGAGAAACGAAAGTTGAAAACATAGGTATAAATATATGAGAAATGATGACGTGTCATCCTGTCGTGGAGAAAGAAATCATTCCATTAGTAATATACTATTTCACTTTAGTCAATTCTGCATTTTTTATCGATATTTCATCATTTCTACAGGTAAATAGACTTTATTCATTGATTTTGCTGAGTAGATGAAATACGACCTTATGGTAAATGATCAACGTAATACCGTATAATGTTGAACTATTAGTCATGTATGAGAGGTCAAAAAATTGATTCTGATCATTTCAACTTCCGCTTTCGTTTTGCGACCTTTCAACTTTCGTTTTCGTTTTGGGACCTTTCAACTTTCGCTTTCTTTTTGGACCTCACAAAAGTATATCCTACACATAATCTATCAAATGGACCAATGACTTGCTGATAACTTGTTGCTTTATGCTACACCAAAAATGCGGAGGGAAATTGTTTGTATATACTTTCTGCTTACTTAAAATAAAATATTACGGACTGTTTTCATTACTGTAAAACTAATAACGTACCGCACACACCCCTCATTTTTAGAAACGAAAACGAAATTCTGCTTGGAACACACAGAATGGGACCAGTGACAAACAGTCCTCAAAGTCTAAGGTTGGTGTAACTTTTCTAAGGTTGGTGTTACTTGTCTAAGGTTTGTGTTACTTGTCTAAGTTTGGTGTTACTATTCTAAGATTGGTGTTACTTGTTTAAGTTTGTGTTACTTGTCTAAGTTTGGTGTTACTTGTCTAAGGTAGGTGTTACTTATCTAAGATTGGTGTTACTTATCTAAGATTGGTGTTACTTATCTAAGATTGGTGTTACTTGTCTAAGTTTGGTGTTACTTGTCTAAGTTAGGTGTTACTTGTCTAAGTTTGGTGTTACTATTCTAAGATTGGTGTTACTTGTTTAAGTTTGTGTTACTTATCTAAGATTGGTGTTACTTATCTAAGATCGGTGTTACTTGTCTAAGGTATGTAACTTATTTAAGATTGGTGTTACTTGTCTAAGTTTGGTGTTACTTGTCTAAGTTTGGTGTTACTTGTCTACGTTTGGTGTTACTTGTCTAAGGTTGGTGTTACTTGTCTAAGGTTTGTGTTACTTGTCTAAGGTAGGTGTTACTTGTCTAAGTTTGGTGTTACTTGTCTAAGGTTGGTGTTACTTGTCTAAGGTTGGTGTTACTTGTCTAAGGTTTGTGTTACTTGTCTAAGTTTGGTGTTACTTGTCTAAGGTTTGTGTTACTTGTCTAAGCTTGGTGTTACTTGTCTAAGGTAGGTGTTACTTGTCTAAGTTTGGTGTTACTTGTCTAAGTTTGGTGTTACTTGTCTAAGGTTGGTGTTACTTGTCTAAGGTTTGTGTTACTTGTCTAAATTTGGTGTTACTTGTCTAAGGTAGGTGTTACTTGTCTAAGCTTGGTGTTACTTGTCTAAGGTAGGTGTTACTTGTCTAAGTTTGGTGTTACTTGTTTAAGGTTGGTGTTACTTGTCTAAGGTTTGTGTTACTTGTCTAAGTTTGGTGTTACTTGTCTAAGGTTTGTGTTACTTGTCTAAGTTTGGTGTTACTTGTCTGAGGTATGTAACTTATCTAAGATTGGTGTTACTTGTCTAAGATTGGTGTTACTTGTCTAAGTTTGGTGATACTTGTCTTATCCCATTCACAATTTTTTTTTCATTGTTAATTTATTAACACGTTATTATGGTTGAATAGATTCCAAACAGTAATGACGAGAAATACACACAGGCCAAAGAGGGTAATGGAGAACAGACTAAGAAACATAAACAGGCACATAAGGAAGAGGATGATGAAATCAGCGAGAAACATCGGGTAGAGTCATTCATTTTAATTGAAATATGGCAATATTATCGATTATGTAACAATACGTAACAAACCCAGTTACACTGTCATTGACTACGTAGGTAACAATACGTAACAAACCCAGTTACACCGACATTGACTACGTAGGTAACAAACCCAGTTACACTGACATTGACTACGTATGTAACAATACGTAACAAACCAAGTTACACTGACATTGACTACGTAGGTAACAAACCCAGTTACACCGACACTGACTACGTAGGTAACAATACGTAACAAACCCAGTTACACTGACACTGACTACGTATGTAACAATACGTAACAAACCCAGTTACACTGACACTGACTACGTATGTAACAATACGTAACAAACCCAGTTACACTGTCATTGACTAACGTATGTAACAAAACGTAACAAACCCAGTTACACTGACATTGACTACGTATGTAACAATACGTAACAAACCCAGTTACACTGACATTGACTACGTATGTAACAATACGTAACAAACCAAGTTACACTGACATTGACTACGTATGTAACAGTATGTAACAAACCCAGTTACACTGACATTGACTACGTATCTAAAATCGATGTGATAAATTTATTGAATAAATTTACATTTCAAAAGAGGTCATTCATGCGTAACGTGTATACACCCATAACGTGATCGCATTTCGCTTCAATGACTTGTTCATACTTTGGTTAAGCATAGTGTATAACATTATCGTGTTAGCGTGTAATATAGTTGACGCTTCCACTTAAAACAGGACATCGGTATGCAAAACCAAGGAGGGAAAAGGCAGACGACCGCAGAACCTGACACGGTAACTTGTTTCAAATTTCATTTTATCACATATTTGACCAATCATAGAAGTTCTTTGATAATTGAATTTCTGTCTTCTCTCTGATACATTGATATTGGTTACGTATTTTCTTTCAGTAGAAAGAATGTCATAGACCTTGTCCTTCGTATTTCCCCACCAGGTGTCGGAAGAAATTGCTGCCCTGTAGTATGCCTTGTAATTCCTTTGTTGCATAACATTTGGGAACATAACATTGTTAACTTGGATTTATCAAGATTGAACACACTTACCTTTTCGAAACACCTTGTCAAATTTTCTTTGTGTAAACTGTCATATATGCCTGATTTAACCGAATTCGAGTTTGAATTAATACTCTGTTGATGTGCTAGTATTTTCTTTATTGTCGTAGTGTAGCAATACATCTAAAAGCGACAGAATAACATGATTTTTTAATAATAACAATTTTTTTAACTAAGCCCCCAAACCGACGTCGAGAAACAGTAAATTATGTTAATATTTGATATCAAAAGTAGGTGAATAAGATATATATGTTACAGGAGGACCCGAAGACAATGCTGGAATTAAGATTTTTCACGCTTTATTGAATTTAATTTATATTCCTATAATAATCACCAACATATTTTTGCCAAACGATGGCATCAAAGGTTCATGCGTATAATGATATCTAGTTCCCCGTTCAGATCAAATGTCGTTTCTTACTGCAGTACAAATGTAACATGTTTTATATGTCTGAGAAAAGTTTCATGCAAGATTCAGAAAGATGAGCCAACGACTATCATCATCATTCCCAACTAAGAGTTTTATTCAATTAGTAACTCTCGTAACAAAATTGTAAAATATACACAAGAAATGATATTGTACAGACTGATGTATCAGTCTATTAATTAACCACATATCAACGTTGTTTTAGATTTGTTTCTGTCTAGAATTTGTTATTATATCTTATATATAGTGTATGACTTCTGTGAATACACTCTCATGAAATATTATCATTCAACAATTTTTTTCCTGTCTTAACTAGTTACAAGTTATACATTTCATTCTTATATCTGATTTTGGGCTGAAATAGAACACCGCTGAGAGAAATACATGTTTTCATATTGAAATCGACATACAGAAAAGGAAGAGAAAACATGACCTGACGTGTGAAGATGGCGAAGTTAAAAGGGAAGAAGCCGGTTGTAAGGTACAAAGACTTCTTTAAAGAAACGTGTATTGAATGTTTACCTGTATCGATATGAAATGTATAGCTTCATCATTTTGCTTTTATTCAAACGTTAATTTCATACATTTCGTCGCAATAAAACAGGAAGGGGAAAGGCAAAATTCGGCCGTGAAAAGGAAATGGGCAGTGGAAAGTGAAAAACAGGCCAAGAGAAGAAAAGAGGAGGAAAGTAAACAACAGGCAGAGAGAAGAAAAGAGGAGGAAAGTAAACAACAGGCAGAGAGAAGAAAACAGGAGGAAGGTAAACAACAGGCAGAGAGAAGAAAACAGGAGGAAAGTAAACAACAGGCAGAGAGAAGAAAACAGGAGGAAAGTAAACAACAGGCAGAGAGAAGAAAACAGGAGGAAAGTAAACAACAGGCAGAGAGAAGAAAACAGGAGGAAAGACAGAAAAGAAAACAGGAAATGTACAGAGTGAGTAAAGTTAATGATACAGATATTGTTTTGATATCATCTGAAAATCACTCTCCAAAGTTCCCTGACGCTTAGTAGTTATTAATGGTCATTTGTATATTACACGAGTCATATTATAATTCAGCGTGATAGTGGTATTGTATATACAATGACATTCTCTTGCAGTAATCTAATATAGAAAGTTATAGATTTCTTTTAACTATAGCTAAGTGTTATCTCCATCTTTCTGGCTTTCAACACTTTAGGCCAAGAGCACCACTAACGTTTGCTGGAAGAGCCAACAGATTTACAATACATTGAAACTTTCTATTCATATGTGTATCTTTAACACGATTTTTGAAATGCGTACTGTTTGTGGATTACTGTTTATTTAAACCAATATTTTTTGATATCTCAGAAATTCCGTGCAGAAGTCAGGAAATGGATGGAACTTGGATATAACAAACCTCAATGTATACCAGCAGTAAGTGATTCTATAGTCAAAGTTTTTTTTTTACTTTATATGAGACTTGTAAGCTTGTATAAATACAAATGGAAACATGACTTTCTTGGCAATGCCGATCATGAAATATTAAAACAAAAACAAAGAAAATAACGTCTTGTCAATATAATCCTAATTCCAATGCGATGTCAATAGATCTACATATAAACACAACAGATTTATAAAGAGACTCCTGAAAAAGTACAAGGAAAATTAGATCACATGTTCCGGAAGAGTAAGTGTCTTCTGCTTCATCAACGACCCCTGCCATGTAATTCTTTGTCAATCCTAGTAGTAATGTCATGTTACCAATTGAGAACAAGGTAAATAACATGGAACCACCATGCAAAATATCGATCATTAAACGCGTCTGACTTCATATCATAAAAGGAAAAATAATTTTCCCTATGAGATCACTATGACGACCGTAAAACTCCTACATAATCATATTCGGCCTTCATCTCTCGAAATCTGTGTCATGAGGTTTATTTATCAGTTACCATCGTGTTATCGGGAACAAGTACTTGAATATCGAATAAACTAAGACATGTAAACACGTAAGTTTGGGAATGCAGGGTGTCGCTATCCAGAAATTGAAAATTCGCAAAAGGGCATTGTAATCAGCACACTTATCATACAGCTGTTTCTGTTGGTTTCGTTGTGATAAAATGGTCGATGTAAGCAGCTGATTTAGAAGTATCTTTCCTTTGACATAAAAGTCATGAAATACCATTGCATGTGTCTTTTCTATGAATAAGTATTTTACCTCACAAACGTTGATTCCACTAAAACTGATTTCATTAATGTTTGTCAATGATACTTGTAACCAAAATTGCTCATTTAACTTTGCAGGGAATACCAAACCTGGGCAACACGTGTTACCTGAATTCGCTTCTACAGGTGGTATTACGTTTCGTACAATCAGACTTTAATCATTTTTGATCTTATATCATTGGTTGTTTGATCGCTGTACTGGCGCAGTATTCCGCTCGCCTTTTATCTAGTATACCAGGCTTCGATTTCTCGATCGGACGTAAAAAATGTATGGAGGCATCTGCACGACCACGTGGATTTCCTTGGGTATTCCGAATTCACTGTAAGGTCTTCATCTGGGCTAACAAGATTGATATTAGATGTAAATTTGTAAAACATGCGGAGTCTTCGTTTTTTATAGCATGGTGATGGTATGCTTCTCTTTAATGCTGTTATCTCTGCATTCGTCATATATGTGGACGATTTAAGTCAATCTTCGCGATAAATGACATGTTTACAAATAATACAAAACTAAGTAAATAAATCTGAAAACGTAGATAAGTGGTGTGAAGAATGACCGAAACGTAGATGAGAAGAGGAAATTTGGTTGGAGAACCATTCATATCAGTGATAGCATGAAATATATATCCTGTCGGCATTGCTTGATGACGGCGAAATTTTTCAACCGCCTATGACTTGTCATCACTGGAAAATAACGACACCAAACCAACCAGTTATACAGATATGCGATTTTTGTTAGCAAACTCGGATGTAATGAAGAACATCATCATTTTTTATTTCGTATTGACTATGAAGACATTTTTTAAAGCGGATACCATGCTCGATAAACTTTGTTGAAAGTTTTTATCGACGATGAATCAAGATGATCATTTTCATAATCAGAAAGCCAAACTTTACACCTATTTCTATCGCATTTTGTAGGTGTTGAGCTGGACACCATTGATAGGACAACAGCTCGCAGAGCAAGTCACGAAATCAGTAGAGGACAAGGAAATGGTAAATATTTATTTAGAAAAAATATCAAAATTAATTGATTTATGGTGCATAATGCTGATAATGATGGTACATGATGACAGTGGTCATCATTATCAAATTATTATCAAAGCCGGATGATGATGATGATGGTGACGATGATGATGATGACGACGACGACGACGATGATGATGATGATGATGGTGTTTTGAAATTTAAAAAAAAAACTGATACCATGTACTGTTTTATAAGGAAGTATCTGCTGAATGTGTCTTTTGACTGAGTGTTTCGGTTTTGTTGTTAGAAACTGCGGGCATCGTCTTTTGTGTTTTGAATGTAAACTGCTTTTTGCTTGTATTTACGTGGAAACCGTAGACAAAACAAATTTAAAAAAATATTGATCTGTAGATAAGATGGCTTATCATATTGATTGTATTTAATAGAAAGACGATTTAAGCCATGCCAATCTATCGGCAGGGCTGTTTCTGCTTCTCAACAAGGTTCACTCATCAAACTCATCAAACAGTGCTCGGATGGTACATCACGATATCCCACGTACTATCCTACAGAGGGCCAGGAAACTGTAAGCATGTTTATTGAAGCAAGTCATAATTATACGTTTAGTCATTTACGAGAAGTTAAAAAGTGATATCTGATCTTCCGGATAGTATAGCCGTTCTAAAACCTGGATGCTACAAAATAAAAAATAAATAAATATTTCAAGATCAAGTAAGGTTAAACTGATAACAAGTATATCTAAAGTGTGCCACTTTTCAGCATTTATCTGTCAATAAACTCACAAAATATACACATCAGTTACCAGCACCTGAAGTTGTCGTCAATAGTAGTGTAAACCGTTAGTATGATAACGGTGTAGGAACTTGTCCATGTTATATTTGTCTATATAAAATAATGTGGTGTGTACAATGATCAAATGGTAAAAGTATAAAATAGTTTTATTAAGATATATAATGCTGTAAAATTATCATCTATCCTTATGTTTTAGAAGATATATATATATATATCGCGGGGTATTATATTGTTATTTTAAGCAATGACCAGTTTAATGGGCATCAACAACAAGACAGTTTCGAGATGTACAACACCCTGATTAGCGGATTGGAAGATGAGGCGAGAGTATTGTCTTTCAAGGTACTATACATAAGGCTCGGTATAACACGAGGATGACAAGCCATTGATATTGAAGTGTCGTCGTCTGTGTGAGATAGTTATAAACTACGTCTGAAAATTGCTGAAAATTCTAGAAACCAAAGGTCTGAAAACTGCCGAAAATTCTAAAACCCAAAGTCTGAAAACTGCTGAAAATTCTAAAAACTCTAGATCTGAAAACTGCCGAAAATTCTAAAAACTCTAGATCTGAAAACTGCCGAAAATTCTAAAACCCAAAGTCTGAAAACTGCTGAAAATTCTAAAAACTCTAGATCTGAAAACTGCCGAAAATTCTAAAAACTCTAGATCTGAAAACTGCCGAAAATTCTAAAACCCAAAGTCTGAAAACTGCTGAAAATTAAAAAAAAATATTTCATCGAAAATAGAAATGGGTGATGAAAAGCATGGCATTTCAAACGTTATTCTACCACAATGTTAAACAGGGTGGTCGGGTGGCGAGGGTGGTCGGGTGGCGCAGTGGTAACGCTCTCAGACACCTCGCGCGCTTCCATCCGGGCCAACAAGAGTGATTAATATGGGTTGGAAAAACCTATTGTAAAATAAACAAAGTTTTTTTATTATAATGTTTAACAAGAACCTTACAACTGCAAATATTTCTCCATATGCAGTTGACACTTTATCTATTTTCCCAGTATCCTTGTAGATTTCTGCCTTCCAACCATAGTCCAGGAAGATATATGGTAATTACGGAACTGATTGAATTAGGTCATCGGTACATCATTCCATCCGGACTCTGCCATATCCTCAGTCGATTCTCGGGCTTCAGAATTCAGGCCCCTAGCATCACTGACTTGTCGGGGAACCGCTAAATAGTTTCATGATGATGTTAAATTTATTAGTGGACTAAACTATAACATTATTCGTATGAAATTTGCTATTTATCAGAGTGTTTTTCGTGCAATATTTTACAATGTTTTTAAATGTAATGATGATTTAAATACTTTTCAGCTGAATATTTTATATTTTTGGTTATCATATATATCCTGACAATTTTTTTAATTGAAGATGAGAGTAAAACCCATCTTATGAATCTCTTATCTATTGCAGCAGGCTGGCTCAAGGAAGTTGACAGGTAAATATGTTTCATTTTCTTCGATACCGATTTCAAATACCTTATCAGTTATTACCTGATCATGTGTTAATAATTCAACAGTAAAAGACGACTAAGGTAATTTAATGTATGATTACTGTATATCTAGATAGATCCACTTCATCATTTACTATTGCGAGCGAAGTGTCTGGCTGTCGAGTGATAGACAAGCGCGTTCCTACTACAGCACCAAACTATTAGATAAACATTGGGATACATTCTATTTCGTTGTGTGATATGAAGCTGGAGGTGTTTGATGCTCTTCAGTTTGCCTGTTGGTTCCATTGTTGTATACCTTGTTTTCACATGAGAATGTGACTTTACTTGAATTGACCAACGTTTACATGGCGGATGTCGTCGATGAAGCAGAAGACGCTCAGTTTTCCGGAACACATGGTCTTACTTTCCCTGTACTTTTCCAAGAGTCTCCATGTAAAATCTTTCTTTTGATCATATTTTGTTCTGGTTTTATTGAATTATAGTTTGGATTATGATTATGTTGTCATGTTTTTTCAAGGATACATTGTTATACACAATGCCATTCAATTGCTGTTGTAGAAAATGAAATCCTGATGTGCAAATCGAAAGTATCGAGACTTGTAGGAGGCACGTTCGTCACAGTGTGGTTTTACGAGTCCTGTGAACACGTGAGTCTATTTTTACTTTTATATACGGAATAGTTTCATACATAAAACTCCATGAGGATATCTTGGAATTAAAATCTATTCATTCGTTTACATTTGTACGACATGGTTCTTGGTATGGTATTTACGGTCGGTATAAATGACAAAACTTTGCATGCAAAATCCACGTCCTTAGAGTGAATAGAGAGCACAAAGTTGTGATTTATGGAAAATAAAAGAATGTAGATCTTCATTTGTGCATAATATTACATAATCTAATACAAATAACGTGACAGTCAGGCGGGTTATGAATAATTGAAGCTAGGTGTTTTTCTAATGTTCTTTTGCAGGTGGAGCTGACGTTCCAGCGATTTACCAGTGTCAGCGTCCCAGTACCTGACCTTCCACAACCGGTACACATTAATACACGTAGAAGTTGTTACTAAACGGTTATTCTTTGCATATCTTATAATATTAAATGAACGTCGCGTGTTTTGTAAGCAATCTCGAACATACTTTTCACACTTAAGTACCCGGATAACTTATAGATTCTCATCTCAAATGTCCGCAAAAAAAGGTTGTAAAAGTCGGTATACACGAAAACACATTCTTGAATAAGAGTGTTAACATTACGCTCCGTGGCCATACATTGAAAATTGATTAATTTAATAGGATTTGATCAAATCAAGAACTGTACGTGCATGCTGACTGATCGGGCGTCATAAAAATGTTAGTTTCCTTACCTTGTCATAACAATTGTATGTACGTTTACAGAAAACTGAATCAATGACAGGCATAGATATGCAAAGGAAATCTATTGAACAAGATGTCTATCAGGATATCATTGAACATCTGGACAATGGTAACGCTGGAGCTCAAGTATCATTATCCATACATGTAGGTACAGTTTTCTTATATCAATACAGAGTTAATCTTCTTAAACATCGATAATAGATTTGTGATGCTAAGAAAAGAAATACAACTGACAACGTTAACCTTATAAACTTTAATCGACAACGTTAACCATGCTGAATCGTTCCTTCATTACTTTCATTTTTCTGAAACAGGGACAATATGAAAGTTATGAACGCACAGAGGGACAAAAGATTGAATTGGACAAATGGAATCTAGGGGAACAGAGTGGAACAATTGACGGGAAAACAACGAATGCCAGTGAAGCAAACGATTGTCCAACGAACGAAACATGGTGTACAGGAAACGAAGAGAAACTTACAAGAACACAAAATCGTGAAGAAGGAATGGAATTTACAGAAACAGGTGACGTTAGAGGTAAGATTACATCAATGGAAGTAGATTCAGCAGACGATCAGGCAATACGTACTGGAACAATGTACTCTACAGCTGAGAAGATGGAGATGATGAATAAAGGAACAAATGTTCGAAGTACTTGTGAAGGGACCACGGATATCGCCGATCTACGACTTGAAAGTCCTGGAAATGAAAGATACAATCAACTACAAGGCGTCTTTCCTGAGCATTCTTGCGAAGAAAAACAATTGAAAATAATACCACACCAGCCTTTGGAAATGATGAGGAAGGACCCGACTGACCTCGAAAGAGGACTGCATGAGTTAACAGAAGAGGAGATCTGGGATGAAGAAGTGATCGGATGCCGTATTTGCCATTCACCAACAGCACGCGGTAATGTTATATTTTCCATGTGATTCAATATAATCATGAATACAGATACAATGTATTGATGCTAAAAGTTCCTTTAAACATGTTTTGCTTATCATTATTTCCGACTGTTTCTTGTCACTTTTGTGAAACCACATTTTATTTGAACATAATAGTCATTTTACTTGTGATAATAAATTTCAACTAATCTATTTATCTTCAACATTCGCGCAAAAGCCTGTCTGTATTACAAATGATATCAACATCAACAAGTAAGAAATAACGATAATTATAGTGAAAACATGTTGTACTGGTGTATACATACAAATGAAAAATATTTCCAATATGGTATTAGTAATTTAATTCTTTTCATAGGCAAAAAAACGCACAAGAAGCTGATGATAATCGGCCTTCCTCCGATATTTGTTGCCCACATCAACAAAATAGAAAAAGTAAGTTAACAATACATTTTACTCGTAAATCCATTAATTTTGTTTTCACAATCTGGAGTTCATCAATTTATCTAGTGATAACTACAGTACGATAAGGTTAGTTTGAAAAAGAACTTCGATGTTTATATCATAATTCAAAGTAAGAAAAAATTTAGATTTTTCTACCACAGTTATTTGTATCCAAAGGATTTAGCTTTCTCTACCACAATTGATAGTATAGAAAGGATTTAGCTTTTTTTCTACCACGATTTAAATAAAGAAAAGATTTAGCTTTTTATACCACGATGTATAGTATAGAAAATATTAAGTTTTTTTCTGCCGCGATTTAAAGCGCCACAAGGATATAGTTTTTTTATACCACGATTTATAGTATAGAAAAGATTTAGTTTTTTTCTACCAAGATTTAAAGCGCCACAAGGATTTAGCTTTTTATATCACGATTTATAGTTTAGAAAGGATTTAGTTTTTTCTACCACGATTTAAAGCACCACAAGGATTTAGCTTTTTATATCACTATTTATAGTATAGAAAGGATTTAGTTTTTTTTTCTACCACGATTTAAAGCGCCAAAAGGATTTAGCTCTTTCTACCATGATTTAAATTATCATTCTTTGATCGAAAGTTGGTATCACTTGATTACTTCCGTTACAGGACGGATTTGGAGGTTTACGGAAGATAGATAAGATGGTCACATATCCCAAGTACCTTAATGTCGCACCGTTTTGTTCTTCCGCTCTTCAGAAATATGAGGTAATTTTACTGTACTAACCAGCGTGTTAATTGTTTTCGGCTCTAGCAGTTTTTGGCTAGGGTGTATCACTTCCGTCGTACTTGTTCTGAAAAAACATAACTTTACGATTAGAAAAAAAAACCCTGATATATCGATTCATGAAGTCTTTATTTCATTTGTATCGAAAATATTTTGATAGACAAAGTATTTTCGTTTAAATTCTGTACGGATTTTCAATATTTCTGGTAAATGAAGACTTTGTCTTCCAAAAATGTTGTTACAGGGAATCATTGGCCCATGTGATTGCTAAAAATTACATTGATAAATCAAGTATCATCTTATTTACTTATACACTCCAACATATCTTTAATCCAGTCCGGGAATACGACCTTAACTTGGTTTAAGTTGTTCGGAGTCGTCAGTCACAGTGGGTCGATTTACGGCGGCCATTACACTGCCTACGTCAGAACCAGCTCCCAGAATGCATCAGCTATCCGTGAAAGCTTTCTCCTGACTGCGTGGATTGATCCGGAACGAATTGAAGATGACATTAGGAAGTTTTGGGAGGACAGTTCTCACAGATGTAATATGTCACCTTCAGAACCACCACAGAACACCATTGATGAGGAATGGTATTACGTTAGTGACACAATGGTTCAGAAATGTACTGAACGTGCGGCGACGCTTGACAGGAATGCTTTTATTCTCATGTATGAGAGGTGTTGTTAGGAAATCCTTTATATTACTGACAAGATACAGGTGACGTTTAACACAATCAAAATAGAATATATAATTATCATTTACGTGTACATTCCGGGCCTTAGCAAGAAATTTATCTACAACTGTGGCTATCTACTGGTATATTTATAGCCCTTTTGAAATAATTGCCAACTGAATATTGCCATAACAGTTACGTCATGGATAACAGTGCAGGATGTATTTTTGTACGATTTGAGTGTATACGACAGCTTACATCAAATTACATTTCTGTATCTATTTAAATAGTAATTTACATGTTGTTGTTTACAAGGAAAATGTTATTTTCTTACGAGGATAAACATAGGACCCTGGGGCATAAATGTTTAAATATCTTTACATTCGTCTTGTAGACTGTGATATTATCACTGCACACCAGTACGGTTTTTTGCCGAAAGATTCAACAGAGAATTAATATCTTTTAAGTTACCGTACAATTATCAGTAGGTATGCTGAAAATGAAGAATTGGGGGCTCGGGTTGAGTTCCAGGGGGCCATTTTGAAACTGGATGAATTTCACAGTGAAAATTCTCAAAATTCTGAATTTTTCATCTTTTAATTATATGAACTTGAATATTGAACTAAGACTCAAATCAGACTTTCCAAATTTATATCAACATCATTTATGAATTATTACCTATCAGGATGTATACCTGTTTTGGAACTTCATAATTTACTGGCCAATCAGTGGTGGCCAAACTTTTTTCTGTGGCTCAATCTACACAGGGGCCATTTAATGATCTGTGGCTCAATCTACACAGGGGCCATTTCATAAGTCAAAAGTCTCTTTTTCAATTGGTTGGTTGTTCCCAACAGCAAAGCTCCACTAGTTTCCCAAAGTATGTTATCTGTGTTTTCCAAATAAAAAAATTCCTGCGTAAAAAAATTAAGAAACTCTACGACCTCGCTAAATCATGATCTTCATTAGGATCATCTGAGTGATAACCCTTTCTATGGCTCTGGTACCTCACTTGAGACAGTGCGTCATTTCCTCTTAGATTTCCACAAGATATCTAGCTGAAAGAAACACATTGGCGCTTTCTCTCTTACAGTTTGACAATATTCACTACGAACTAAAATCTGTCCCCTTTGTCAGGTGTGTAATACAAAAAGGTTTAATCAAAATTAATTAGACAATTTATGTAAACAAGGCTGTAGATAAGGCAGGAAGAAACAAACAAAGTTTCCAACCTTCCCATAGTCATTGTATTTGTTACTATATCGCTATCATTTTCACTGATTGACGTTTCAGAATTCAAGTTTATGTGTATAATGGTGAATGTTGTCATCTTTAAAAGTAATTTCAAACTTCCTGTTAAAATAAATTATCATTATGTGGGAAACAACACTAAATTTTTGTTGTATGTAATATTTGTAAAATCAATAAGGATAATCCTATGTCTATACTTCAAACACCTATCCCCTTTACTTGTAGTGCTCACCTTGAGGAGAAACCCTGTTTTCATGCTATGGAATCTCTGGTCCAAACCCTTTGTAATTAGCATTAAAAGTGTATCAAATAGGTAAATGGTTAATCAATAACATTGGTTCTTCAATGCTGCCAATTTCGTATTTAACATTTTAGAAGAGTTGTTTCCCTTTGAACATGTTTTGCAAATAATAATTATTGTAAAAAGTCGCACTCCATTCAATCTGGACCATTGGAGATTATGAGAAGACTTCTACTGGCTTCCGGCCTGCTGTCTAATGCAATAAATATATTTATCAATAAACTTTTTCTAAAATGAAGAAGAAAAATCGTATCATGTTTTTCATACAAACGAATAATTTTAAGATGACTGTATTAAATTCACTGAAACAGTGTCTAAGATGTTACATTAAAATTACGAGTGAGTTTTATTGATTAATAGAGGACCGGAAGTAGAACTATTACTTACAAACTATCTAGAGCTAGAGGCTAATCTTCAAACCGACACCGGATATAGCTACCGACACCGGATACAGCTACCGCCACAGCCAGCTATCTTAATCAGAAAATGTGTGTTGGTTTTTAATTAACCTACAGACTATGTTAAAAGTACTGCCGGGAAATGTCGATAAATCACGGAAAATGTCGATTACGTGAAGGACTGAATAACGCGTATCTATTTATTTCATTGTGTGTAACAATTGTTTGATTAAGGTATCAAAATCCTACCTTATATTCCTGATACTCCGGGAAAAGTAAGATTCCGAAAGGGAAGTGAGAATATCTTCGTTATCTCGAAATTTTGATAAAACGTCGTCCATATTTTTTTAATTTACTGGGACATCACGGTAAAATGATTTTTTCCTGTATTTAACATTATTGCACGTATCAAGTGTATTACCTTTTGGTTTTTGCTGAAATACGCCCATAAACATGTCAATTGATACATTTCAATTATAAACAAAAATCCTGATCAACTGCCTGTATATATAAATATTTGCATTATATATGATTACGCATGCGCACAACACACCCCATCAGTAAACAAGATTGGCTTACCACATGAATCGGTCGCGGTTGAAAAAATGTTAGAATGTCAACCGCAGATCAAAGAATGGCCAAATGTGTAGAAAGTTAAAATCAGAATTTTACTGAAGAGGCATACCGTGATAGATAGGTACATATCAAACGAGAAAGCAAACAGAAACGTTGACTATTAATTTGAGTTATAAAACAACGTCTATTTGTCCATACCGAATTCAGGTATCGAAAAACAGGTGTTTATGTACGGTGTCAATCCATATCTTCCGCCATCACATGTAATCATTAAAAATGAACTGTCTCGTTTTCAAAACTATCTTATCAGTTCTACATTTGAGAGGGTTTTCCCGAATTAACTGTATGATCAAACTGGACATCGGGATTGCATAGAAACGTAACAGGACAATTATAATACACCCACAACCAACAAATAGCACAAACAGTTTTAACCGTGTTGTACCTTTAACAAAATTAACAATGGAGATATTGAAGTCTTCAGAAGAATGGACACGGAACTATGTTTGATACAAAATCGATAGAGTATGACCGGAAATTGATAACAAAAACATCTTAAAGGCAAATTCAAAGATGCTGTATATGTTTAATGATGAATAACAATTCAAGATAAGACTGGTTTGTCAGGAACCAAACTACAAAATCAGGAGACGTCATCAGACCTGTCAGGGACCAAACTACAAAATCAGGAGACGTCATCAGACCTGTCAGGGACCAAACTACAAAATCAGGAGACGTCATCAGACCTGTCAGGGACCAAACTACTTAAATCAGGAGACAAATTAAGAAAATGAGAATCAAATATAAAGAAATTTATTGATAAGTTGTATGATATGATATATGCGATTTGATTTGATTCAATGTGGAAAAGCTGTACTGACCGCCATACTCCGTCTATATCATTATTAAATGTTTTAACTGTACGATCGATGTGTAGGGGAACATACGTGTGTCACAATAGAACGGTGGCATGTACTTAGCAGGAGAAATCTGACACCAGGTGTTAAATTGTGAGAATATTGATGGGCGAGGTATGGTTAATCTTCTCACCTCATCATGTTCGGGAGATTAACATTCAGTGAACACGATCAACACTCGACATAATCGACAGAGTACCAAGATTACTACATACACGCCCACATTACATCACACAGACAAAACAGGTTCCAGGTGTAACAATACAAATTATAACGAGTCGTTGAAATATATAAATACTCCAGTCACAAATCAAATAGTTTATTCCAAAACACATCACCTTCCTGTTACAAGATTTGTAAGTATGTGAATTTAAAAGTTAGTTTAAAAGCAATAACAAACATATTCAGAACATAAATCCGACACACTCACTTCACATTACAAATTTTGGTCACGTTGTTAAAATTGTCATACATTTTCCATTTTTACATGTATCTGTCTGACAGATCAGAGTGCCCACCCTTATAGAAGATTAATCTGTAGTTAATACTAGGTAACACTTCGCCTTTAGTAACACGAAATTTAAATGTTTAGTTGTATTGACAAATGAAATAGATCGAGTTCGTTTGCCTAATAGATAAATGTGATCAATATTCTCGTGCTGATTAACTTCTTTAAGTGAAAGTGTGAAAACCAAGAGAAATGTAGATGCATAGCTGGAAAATTACCAATATTTTTTAAACAAACGATATTTTATAAATTGACAATTCAACTTTGCACTTTTCGTCAACAGTTCATAGAGTTCAAATCCACTGGTTAATTCTGATTGGAGACTTCAGAAGAGGAGATTAATACATAGGTTTTCTATCAAATCTTAACGGTGTGATTTCAGCTCAGATTTAAAAGAAAAAACAGTTTTGTAAAACAATTCCTAGAAAAGAATTGCACGAAATAGAATAATTTGATATGGTTCCGTCTCGTTGTTAAGCGTAAAGTCATTATTATAACACGTCAAACAATGCTTATTTATCTGAAAAAATAGTACTGGTATCGTGTTTTTCTGTTGTGGTATCGTGTTTTCTGTTGTGGTATCGTGTTTTCTGTTGTGGTATCCTGTTTTCTGTTGTGGTATCGTGTTTTCTGTTGTGGTATCGTGTTTTCTGTTGTGGTATCGTGTCTGACTCGTGTAATATGTTATTGAATCGTGGCACAGTCTACTAAACGTTTCTCTTAAACAATCTTATGTATGAATTAAAATTGTGAATTTAATCAGTTGTAGGACTAGTTATTATATAGCTCACTATTTCTGATTCTAAATTTGTATAGGAAATTATAATTCCCTTTTTTACGGTGTCTAACAGGATACCATTATGTGCGGTCTATGTCATCAAGATGTTTGTTTGTGTATTATAGTTATAAAAGTATGTAATAAGAAAGGTACAGGCCAATACATTTTCTTCACATATTAAAACATGGCATTGCTTACTTGGATTGATAAAGATTTGTAAGGCGGGCATCGTTGGTGAAACTGAAGACTCGTACTCTTCCGTGACTCCTGGTCGTATCTCTTTTC